TCCCTGGTTCTGCTGGATCTACAAGCACGCTACTCCACTAAAACCTAATCAGTGATAAGTTTCTTTAGGGTTACTGGAAGTCAAAAATGACTTGAAGGTACACAAAACCAAAGTTCAAGACTTGGGATTTCAGATAGTGGCAGATCTAATCATCCGCCTGCTAGCTTGCTTTCCATTAAGATTGACACTCTTGCCTCCTGTCCACCTGCCTTCTTTGTAGGAATTAGCAATGTTTAAACATCTCATTTCCCCCCCTCATCAGAAAAGGGTATCTACAGGATCCAGGGTGGTGTAGTGGTTTGAGTGTTGGACACTGGAGAGCAGGGTTCAAATCTCTACTTGACCATGAAAACCCACTGGGTGACCTTGGTGAAGTCACACTTTCTCAGCCTCAGAGGATAGCAATGACAAACCCCCTCTGAAAAAACTTGCCAAGAAAACCCTGTGATAGGTTCACTTTCAGTTTGTCATAAATTGGAAACAACTTCCAGGCTCCAACACACAGGGTGTCTTACAAGAGGATATGAGTAAGGAGAAACAACACAGAAGACTTGCCTCCAAGCCAAAGAGTGAGAAGGCTTGAGAAGATAAATAAATAATCACTTGCAATGTGCAGTTGAAAAGCAAACAGTATTCCGGCCATTTGGGGAGGGAGGAATTACTCACACTGAAAAACTAGAACATGGGGATAATACTTCCAGGAAGAATTTTCAAAGATACTCTTCATTTTTTAGAGTATCACTGTAGGCTTATCTTCACTGGCCAGAATACTTTGTGCTGGCCCTGGAGTATTCTGGCCCCAAATTCCCCCACAAATGCTTCCTATTACATATGCTCTCTCCACAGTAGTGGCAGTGGCTGCCTTCTCATGCAAACCCTGTTTGTCACCCAGCACCATCAATGAAGTCACAACAATGCGCCCAACCATGTTGTCTATGCTGGGTGCATTATTCTGGCATCAGAGTGACTCATGCTGGCAGCAGTGGCTCCAGGTGGCTTACAAGGACCAGATGGGAAGACAGCCACTCATCATTGCTGCAGAGAGAGCTGAAACCCAAGAGTAAAAGGTACGGTTTTTAAATTCAGATTAAGGGAAGGAAAGGCCGAATTGGGCGCAGACATCATGAAGACAGTCCATGCTTGATTTTGAGTTTTGGCCCTGTGTAAAGTAAACAGGACACAGTGAGCCCAGGGGAAATCTGAAGTAAATAACCCATGTACACAAGAACTGTGATTTCCAAGTTTTCTGCTCCAGGGCTCCTGCCATTCATCTTATTTCTTCTCTCAAAACATACTTGGTTATAATGTAAGGGAAATAACATGACCCTACAAGGCACAGGTATGTGTGTTTTTCAAGTCTCTGGTGGCATATACATGGGACCCCATAAATCCCCTAATAAAAATAGACTGTGGCAGTGTCTAAACACAGAACAGTATAAGTTTCAGTTACATAATTTATTTTCCAATGTTTCCATGTAGGAGTTTCACCCTCAAATGCAGTTGAAATTTTCTGGAGAGGCTGTTGGTTTTTTAGAGCACAAAAGACCACTGGTTTAGCACTAAGACTTTAGAAAGGCTTTTTTTTTTAATTACAAAATGTTTAAAAGGTTCAAGACTGAGAAAGGGAGAAGAAGCAGGGAATATCCTGGAAGCTTTCCGCCATCTGAGTTCTCCAGGTGACAAGGATTTAGAAGGATTCATCTTTCCAGCGTAGGGACATATTGGTTTAGTGCTATGAATCTAGAGAGATTTTTTAAATATTGAAAACATTGAAAAGATACATGGGGAGGAGGGAAGAAGGAAAAAAGGAAATAGGGCAGAAGGCAAAACCATCTGAAAAATAGGCAGGGATACGGACCTGGACAAACCCATTTTGACCATCACAGCCCACAAAATAAGAACAACAACAAAAAAAATAAAGAAGCTCCAAAACTTGCCTTTCAGAAGAAACAAAGATTTCAGAGTGCTGTGTGAAAGGACAGGAAATCACTTGTAACATTGCATGATTGGCAAATGTCATTTGGATCTTCAAAAAAAAAAAGTTGGAAGAATAGCAACCCAAACTACCACCTTTTGATGCATTTCCCCATCTGGAAGAGCTCATTGTCCTTGGTTAGTAGCCACTGATATCCCTATACTCCAGTGCAGTCTTTTGATAAGATGCAGCACCAGCATCTCACTGCACAGCATTGTAGGTTGAATGGTCCATCCCTTGCCAAAGGAGCTTATCACATGAGCCCCATTCTCACTGCAAGCATGCTAGTAAGGGGAACTACATACATACTGGTTTTGAAGTATTCCCTCTCACACATTCTCACAATAGCATGACTGAGGCCTCATGCTCTCTTCAGCACTCCTCCTTAGCCACACCTCCCTGTCCTATGCTCTACCCAACCGAGTGACTTTCAGTGGGTTTTCTTAATTAATTAATGCAATTCCAGTGGGATGATGATGATAATGATGATGATTTAAAAAATAAAATAAAGTTTTAAAGGAGGGGGGAAGCCTGCCTGGGAGTATCAAGGGGAAGGGGGGATAGGAAGGAACATTGACACCATAGGACTGCCACACACAGAACTTATCACACCTGGGGACTAATGGGTCAGATACACATTTGAGAACTTATTGATGGTTTTCCCATCAATGACAAGATGTGCTATAACCATACTTGGATGGCAAGGCAGTGATAAGATGGAGATGGTGTCATATGGTAAGTAAGCCAAACACATTATTTTCGGACTTAAAAGCAGTTTAAAAGCCATGTGTGATAAAGTCCTTAATGTATTTTACAAGAGTTTGTGATTTCCCCCACCCCTATTTAACAAACAGCTGAACAGAGGACTGAGCAATGATGTTTTAATTTGTTTCCATTATAGGAGGAAGGCAAAAACATCAGTCACAGATTTTTACTTTACACTTGTGTAATGAAGTAGCTTTCAGTCTCCATAAAGAGTCATTGAGCCAGTGGTGCTGATTCATAATGATTCTAGCTTGAGCAGGCAGTAATCTCATTATCCTAGGCCTTCACCGTACCACAGCTATCCTTGGGCAAAGGTTGGCAAACATGACAAAATGAAGGCAGAAGTCTTTTGCATTTAGACAAGTTGCTGCAAGCATTTAAATGAGACCAGCAAAGATGATAATGGACCAGACTGGACATTTTAGTAATTACACAGAAAATACAGACAAAGCTAATGTGTAGATATTGTATTAGCTGAACAGCTCAAGTCTAAGTTATGGAAGAAATTTTGAGGGATGGTTACCTTCAGCCTGAATGTTCCAGCATTTTTGCTCCTTGTTGTCAGCCTGTTGCTTTGATGTCTTTTTATCCCACAGCAGGCTTCAAAACAGACTGCTGTCATCCATTTTTACCCCATGCTGATATTTGTTCACCTGCACAAAAGAAGGTTAAAACTTAGAGGCCACACAGACATACCACAAAACAGGTGTGTGAATGGTTTTTCTACTTTTGTGGGGTGTGCCTGATGTTTTCAATCACCTTCCCTAGGAAGAAAGGCTACAACATTTCCAGCTTTTTTACTTTTTTACAGGGGGAACCTGTAGAGCTCTTGTGAAGACTGGATCTGTATGGAAATCTTACTTTTTCCTATTTTAACCTGAACCAAAAGAATAAAATTGAAGTTGGGATTGGCTATGGAGAACTTCAACATTGCACTGAAAGTCCAATTGTATTTGCTCTCCATGGCACTGACTGGGCAGACAGGTAAGAGAGCAGCATGGGCATACATGACTTGGGGTAAATGTATTTAGCTAGAAATTGTTGCTCAATAACAGGTATCCTGTGAATTTAGAGTAATGTGGTACAGTCCTGACTCATTCTACCATCTGCTTCTAAGGGTGGCATCTAGATTATCACTCCTTATATATGTAATTAAAGATGTCATTGTGCAGACAGCCCAGTTAGTGTCAGGTCAGAGAAAAATGCCTACTAGCAATACAGATGGCATACACTTGCAAAAAGATAATGTGGTATTAAATTCCTAGTTTCTTCCCAAACCAGCACTAAGTGGAACATGGAGAATGGCCTTAAAGGTAAAAGGTAAAGGTTTCCTCTTTAACAAGATTGTCCAACTGTTAAAGAGGAAACCTTTACCTTATGTGGCCTTACATCACACCAAAACACAGGTACATCTAACAAAATACTGAAAGGCAGTGGCTTGCTGAGTTTTCAGACAGGAGCCTTTCCCAACTTTACCTGAAGAATCCCAAACTATCTACTTGCAAAGTATGTGCTTTATGGATGGATGGAAGAAGAAAGAATAGAGTACATGCATTTTCTTCATGGGAACTATCTCCATCAGGAAAGCATAGTTTGTGGACAGTAGCCTGAGCCCATGCTTCTGTGGGAAGGGATTGGAACTGTCCTTGTTTGGAAGTAGTGAACCCAGTGTATTGTGCTCAACCAACAGAAGGAGCCACACAATTTTGCATCCTCCCCTGGCAATTGTTTCTGAGCAAAGGAATTATTATTCCTTTTCTCATTTTAAGTTCCCTACCTCATGTTATCTCCAAAGGGACTGTATAGGCTTAAAGTGTGTTTTAATGTTTCACCTTATTTATTTACTTAATTATAAGCCACCTTTCTGGCTCATAGATAGAAAGTGGCATTAAAATATGTTGAGTCTCTATGATTTTGACTTTAAGGCTGCATGGCCCTGCCCCAAAACTTCTTATGAATTCTCATTTATTGCCCTGCATCTTATCAAGTGGAGTTTCAATAACCCATTCCTACCAATTGTTGTTGTGAGTCTTCAAGTTTTCCAACTTATGGCATCCCACAGGTGACCCAAACATGGAGTTTTCTGGGACTGACAGTGTGTGATGCATTGAAGGTCACCCAGTGGGTTTCCATGGCCAAGCAGGGAATCGAACCCTGATCTCCAGAACTCTAATCCAATGCTGAAACCACTACAACACACTAGCTCTCAGTTCTACCAATACTTACTGCAAAATAATTGCTTTCAATTGGATTTACTCCTTCATCTTCTTTGATGTATCTGAAGCTACCAAAGGAGAAGAGTCAGAATTTAAATTCAGGGAATGGGAACTCATGTTGTTTTGCCCAGGGTGTCACCAGCGTGTGATTTTGAGTTGCATTTATTTAGCAAGAAGTCTTAACATAGAGATTTCACACTTCATCTCAACAGCATCAAGCACAGTATTTAAACACGCTCTGGAGGTGATCAACTGGGCTGGGAATTCTTCCAGAAGATGGTAGTTAATTAGCTTAGAGCAAAACTAGCAGGGGTTTGGCAGCACAGTCTGCAGATAGTCAGTTGCTTCTAGAGAAGTGGTTTTTCAACTTTACTTTGGGAGGAACATTTGAAAATTGCAGCAGGTAGGTGCCTCAGTATACCACTTAATAATCATTTGTGTGAGAGAGTTCTACAAATCAAATATATATATATCTAACACAGTCTAATAACATTTTTGTTTTCAGTCTCATCATCAAAATCAGAACCTCATTATGTTGGCCCATTCAATAGTCTGGCTGTGGTCAGAATTGTTTCAAGATGACTCAGATGGGTTAAAAGTCTCAGTAAGTATGAGGAAGAGCCCTGCTGGCACAGTGGTTAAATGCCTGTACTGCAGCCACTTGCTCACAAACCACAAGGTTGGATCAATACCAGCCAGGGGCTCAGGCTTGACTCAGGCTTGCATCCTTCTGAAGTCATTAAAATGAGTGCCCAGATTGTTGGGGGCAATTAAATTACAGTTTTTAAGTGCACTGATAAGTGGTATAGAAATGTACTTGCTATTGCTAAGTATGAGACTTTCCAATTCTTTTTGTTTTGATTGTACCTGCATATTCATGGGTTTGCATTCCAGGAAAAAATAGCTGTGTTTAATGTGAAGTTGAAGGCTTCACATTCACATTAAAGGTGTTTTTTTTGGCAGCAGCCATTTTTACTGCTTCCAAGACAATAGAAACACACAAGTCAAGTACAGATACATTTCATTTTGGTAATGCTGGATGTTGTTGTTAACTGCCCTCAAGTCAACTCGACTCATGGTAACCCTATGAATTAGACATCTCCAAGATCATCTATCCTCCACTGCTATTTACTATTTTTATTTCTTCACTGTCTAGGTTGAACTTGTGAAGGTCCTTGGTGGTCATTATTTTTGTTTTCTTTATGTTCAGCATTAAGCCTGCTTTAGCACTTTCTTCTTTGATCTTCCTTAGTAGGTGTTCCAGGTCTGTGAGGTTTTCTGCTAGTATTATGGTATCATCTGCACATCTTAGATTGTTGCTATTCCTTCTTCCTATTTACACTTCTCCTTCTTCTGTATCCAAGCCTGTTTTTCTTATAATATGTTCTGCATGCAAGTTGAACAGATAGGGTGAAAGGATGCAGCCTTGTCTGACCCCTTTGCCAACTGGTAATCATTCTGTTTCTCAGTGTTCTGTTCTGACAATAGCCTCTTGTCCTGAGTACAGATTCCTCATCAGGACTATCAGATGTGTTGGCACTCCCGTGTTTTTAAGGTCATTCCATAGCCTTTCATGTTCTATGCAGTCAAAGGCTTTGCTATAGTCTATAAAGCATATGCTGATTTTCTTTTTGAATTCCCTGGTGTGTTCCATTAGCAATTGTATGTTTGCAATGTGATCTGTAGTGCCTCTTCCTTTCCTGAACCTTGCTTGGACCTCTGGGATCTCTCTTTCCATGTATGATTAGAGTCTATGTTGCAGAATTTTGAGCATGATTTTGCTTGCGTGGGAGATCAGTGCTATGATCCTATAGTTGCTAGATACTTCCAAGAAATACTTTGGAATGAGAAAAACATCATACAGATCTCCAAAATAAGATAGGTTTGTACAGGAACAAAGCATGGCATTTCCCGAGATGCCTTCTCTCAACTACCATTTAAAAAAAGGATTTGTTTCCAAAATTTGGGGAAATTTTGGAAGGAGTTAAAATTCTCAAACTCCCCCAGGCAACAAGACCACTGAGTACATAGAATTTGCTTACAAAACATCATTAAGCCATAGATCCTAATATGAGAAACCGTTCTACAGCAGAACTGTTGGGGAGGGGAGGAAAAAGGAAGCATGCTATTTTCACCCATCAAACCAGCAGCAAAAAGTAATCTAGATAGCAAACAGAAAGTCATTGCTAGCAGACAATAAATTTAAACACAGTTTTCATAAGAGGGTCAGAAAAATACCATCTGAGGGCCCAACAATCTTGAATGGATGAACACTCGAGGTTTCAGTTAAAGAGCCCTCTTTGATATCATTGCCCTTCAATTACAAACTACTTGCTTACAGGGAACCAATCACAAGAAGAGCAGAATCTATTGAAAGAGTGGCACTGACACTTTCTTTTGTATAGATGAGCAAATCACTCAAATGTTTCAAGGCTACTGAGTAAAAAAAACCTCCAACCACCAATGTTATTTATGCAGTTAACATCAGTTAGAGAAGAGCTAGAGGAGAAAAGAGAAGTTATTATACAATCAGGCCACACACAAATGCAACCGCACGCAATATTCTAACAAAATGTGAGGTCATAAAGAAGGACATATTAATGAAGAGGGCACAATCTAGCCTATGTTAAGCTATTTTGCTGTTATTTATTTATTCACTACATTTCCCAGACATCTTCCAAGACCACAGTCTTCCCAGGAGTAGCTTACAGTATCAAACAATACATTTCAGTTTAAAATTATAAGAGCACCACTGTTTTAACCTCCTCGGTTTCAAAGGGATAATTGCATGTGCTGTCAGAATGCATAAATCAGCCCAGTGGTTATTTAAAACTGCTGAAATGTGAGTGGTTCTGGGGAGGGGGGAGAGCAGGTGTTATTGTTTTTTTCCCTTGAAATAATGGGGAGGGAATGGAAGGGAATAGCTTTCGGGAACAATGAGATAAAATGGGTAATCATGACATAATTTGTTTTTCTGCTGTGGAAATCCCAACTGGAAAAATTCACACAGCTACTCAGTCCTATCCCTGTATACTGAGAAATAATTCCCATTCTGCTTAATTCAGGGATGGGCAATATAAAATGGGTGGGCTACATTTAGCCTCCCATCCCTTTTTGCAGTACCCAGATTCTCTCAGACCCATTCCACTGATGGTCAAAAAATAATTGCTGCTCTTCGAAGCTACCAGGAATGGCTACTCACCTTTAAAACTAGGCCCAGATTCTCATGCCTTGTTGTCCAATCCCATTTAGTTTTTTTTTGTTTAAAAAAATAAAATACAACTTGAAATGAGCTTCCAGTCACTTCATGTTTCAGTTTTGTGTGGTGGTGCAGCCTATAGCAGGTAAGAGATCCCCAAAAGACCTGGTTAAGTGCTAATTCCCCACAAGGAGGAGAGAATATGCTTGAAGGCAAGAAGAGGGTAGTATTAGGGCAGAAATCTCAGGGGAAACATTCCTTTTTGACCCAGGTCAATTAGACCCTGAAAGTGAAGCTAAAGCCAACCACTGAGCTGTTTTGACATGACCTACATTTACTAACACTGTTATATAACTCTCAGACTCTGAGGTTCTTCCTTCCAGGCACAAATGCCTTCCTCCTTCACAGCTGAGACCTTTATTTTAAGATCAAGCCCAAAGGATGCAAAGCAACTACCCAACTGGAACTTGCTGTCCAGCAGCAGTGCCAGGATTTGGCATTACACAGCTGCACAGTCATTGCCCTCAGTAGAACAATGTTTCTGATCTCTACTTTCTTTTTAATGCCACAGAATTATGTAACAGATCACAAGCAAACTCCCCCAGTGTGCTTCGAAAGCAATGGTAGGCTTCATAGAGTAAACTACAATCTTTTTAATAGTTACAAGATCAGGACTGGCCTACTATTAGGCAGCATGAAGTAGAACCACAGGTAGCAGATTTAGGTGTCATGAAAGGATAGAATCATAGCATCTTAGAGCTGGGAGAGAGACAAGAGCCATCTAGTGCAACACCCTGCCAAGCAGGATTATACAATTAAAACACCCCTGAAAGATGCCCATCCCACCTTTGTTTATATAGCATTATGATTCCACTTTACCTGCCACAGCAATAACCAATGGCATCCTGGGATTCACAGTTTAGAGGTGGGTATTTGGATTTCTCAGCCAGAGAACAGTGGTGGTTTGCCATTGCCTTCCTCTGAAATACAGCTTACAGCACCTGATATTCATAGGCGGTCTCCCATCCAAGTACTAACCAGCCCGTATGTACTGCTCAGCTTCCAAGATTAGACACAATCTGCTGTCTTCATGGGCATCACTAGGGGTGTGTGGGGAGTGCGGACTGCGCTGAGTGACATCTTGGGGGGTGACACCTGGTCAGGCCCTCCGCCTGCTGCAGCCATGAGGGAACCCAGTGGGGGTCTCCCAGCAGCCCTTTCTGGTTCAGATGGGTCTCCTGGCTGGATGGGAAAGAAAGAGCAGTGGCAACAGTGGTGCCATGGACTCCTCCCCTTCCTGCCTCCATCATCTTCTTCTTGTGCACCAAGCTGCCAGGTAGCACCAGGAGCTCACTGCTGCCACTGCCTCCTCCCATGCTTCTTGGCCAAGTGACCCCCAAAGCTGCAGAGAAGCACAAATGGGAAGCAGTGACATTGCAACCTGGTTGAAGCTCTGGATGGAGCTGCAAGCTCACTGCCACCCCCACTGCCTCCCTTCCATTTGTCTCCACTACTTTGGGCTCTCTTACTTCAGCCATGAGAGCACAGGGCTGCAAAGAAGCACAAAGAGTAGGAGGAGATGTGGAAGGCCAGCTGTAGCTGAGGATGGGGTGGGAGAAAGTGCTGCCAGGTGGCAGCAGCACCTTTGCCCTAGCAGACACAATGGGCAGATGGCATAGGCAGCTATATCAGGCAGAAGGGGGTTGGCAGGAAGTTTGGGCAGGACAAGGAGGATGGCAAGGCAGTCAGGAGGAGGAGGGTGGATAGTAAGAACCTATCCTTTCCTGCTGC